CCCAGCTCCCCCCAGCCCACACCTGAGGGTGGCCGCAGCGTGTGCAGGAGTTTGCAGCCGCCCGGCTCCAGCAGCTGCAGAACGTGGACAGAGCCTCGGGCCGAGGCGACGAAGAGGCTGTCGGAGTCAGCGGAGAACTGCAGCTGGTAGGCTGGGGGCAGCAGCTTGGGCACTTTGGGGACCTGGGGAAAGGGAGAACGCACCCCGCAGTCACCCACACCCCTCACTGAGGGTGACACTGGGCACAGCTGCCGGGACCCCGCAGCCCCCACCCCTCTGACCTTCCTGAGGCTGACGCCGTCCCCGTCGCAGCGCACGCGGTACAGATGGAAGCGCGAGGCGGTGGAATAACCCAGCCAGGTGCCGCAGGGTGAGACRCAGCTGCAGTAGATGTGCTCCGGGCCCTGGGAACGCCACGGGGCTGAGAGGGGCTTGGGGACCCCCAGAGCCCGGCACGGACCCCTCTGCTGCACCCCAGCCCCCTCTGCCCTACCTTACTCTTGAGCTGCACGAGGTGCTCGGGCATCCGGCACAAGGGGAGGACCTCGCCGTCCTTTCCTGGGAGAGAAACCACACAGAGTGTCATTCAGAGTGTAAAAACCACACACGGCCCTTCGAGCAGCCAGGGATCCCGGAGGGGTGCCCAGACACCTTCCCGAGGCCCAGGACAGCTCCATGCTGAAATTCTGCCGGCAGCACAGGCTCTGACACTGGAGAGCTGCACCTGTGACTCACCGGTCTCCTCCGTGGAGCCAAGCCTCCAAAGCTCCAGGTGCTGGGAGAACTGGAAGAGAAGCAGCCGGGCTTTCCTGGCGCAGGAGACGAGGCGTCGCTGCGTGGGAAAACGGGCAGGATGTCACGGACCCACAGCCTGGCACAATGGGCTGGGGCACAGCCACAACACCCCGGGCTGTCGGAGGCTATGGGGTGGGGGAGAGCAGGGAAATCAGGTCCTGTGGGATGGCAGCCTGGAGATGGAGACCTGGCACAACCAGCAAGACCAGTTTGCCAACTGCTGCTTGGCAGGAGCCTCCAGATGTACCAGGACAGGGAATGCAACGGGGCACAGAAGATATTCAGGGGCAGGGACAGAACCCTGGCAGGGCA